ACAGTCCCTTCAGACAGACAGGTAGCAGCACCTCCCACCTTACAGTCCCTTCAGACAGACAGGTAGCAGCACCTCCCACTTTACTGTCCCTTCAGACAGACAGATAGCAGCACCTCCCACTTCACAGTCCCTTCAGACAGACAGATAGCAGCACCTCCCACCTTACAGTCCCTTCAGACAGACAGGTAGCAGCACCTCCCACTTCACAGTCCCTTCAGACAGACAGGTAGCAGCACCTCCCACTTCACAGTCCCTTCAGACAGACAGGTAGCAGCACCTCCCACTTTACAGTCCCTTCAGACAGACAGGTAGCAGCACCTCCCACTTTACAGTCCCTTCAGACAGACAGGTAGCAGCACCTCCCACTTCACAGTCCCTTCAGACAGACAGGTAGTAGCACCTCCCACTTTACAGTCCCTTCAGACAGAAAGGTAGCAGCACCTCCCACTTCACAGTCCCTTCAGACAGACAGGTAGCAGCACCTCCCACCTTACAGTCCCTTCAGACAGACAGACAGCAGCACCTCCCACTTTACAGTCCCTTCAGACAGACAGGTAGCAGCACCTCCCACTTCACAGTCCCTTCAGACAGACAGGTAGCAGCACCTCCCACCTTACAGTCCCTTCAGACAGACAGATAGCAGCACCTCCCACTTTACAGTCCCTTCAGACAGACAGGTAGCAGCACCTCCCACTTCACAGTCCCTTCAGACAGACAGATAGCAGCACCTCCCACCTTACAGTCCCTTCAGACAGACAGGTAGCAGCACCTCCCACTTCACAGTCCCTTCAGACAGACAGATAGCAGCACCTCCCACCTTACAGTCCCTTCAGACAGACAGGTAGCAGCACCTCCCACTTTACAGTCCCTTCAGACAGACAGGTAGCAGCACCTCCCACCTTACAGTCCCTTCAGACAGACAGGTAGCAGCACCTCCCACTTTACAGTCCCTTCAGACAGACAGGTAGCAGCACCTCCCACTTTACAGTCCCTTCAGACAGACAGATAGCAGCACCTCCCACCTTACAGTCCCTTCAGACAGACAGGTAGCAGCACCTCCCACTTTACAGTCCCTTCAGACAGACAGGTAGCAGCACCTCCCACTTTACAGTCCCTTCAGACAGACAGATAGCAGCAACTCCCACTTTACAGTCCCTTCAGACAGACAGGTAGCAGCACCTCCCACCTTACAGTCCCTTCAGACAGACAGGTAGCAGCACCTCCCACTTTACAGTCCCTTCAGACAGACAGATAGCAGCACCTCCCACTTTACAGTCCCTTCAGACAGACAGATAGCAGCACCTCCCACTTTACAGTCACTTCAGACAGACAGGTAGCAGCACCTCCCACTTTACAGTCCCTTCAGACAGACAGATAGCAGCACCTCCCACTTTACAGTCCCTTCAGACAGACAGATAGCAGCACCTCCCACCTTACAGTCACTTCAGACAGACAGGTAGCAGCCCCTCCCACTTTACAGTCCCTTCAGACAGACAGATAGCAGCACCTCCCACTTTACAGTCCCTTCAGACAGACAGGTAGCAGCACCTCCCACCTTACAGTCCCATCAGACAGACAGGTAGCAGCACCTTACAGTCCCTTCAGACAGACAGGTAGCAGCACCTCCCACTTTACAGTCCCTTCAGACAGACAGGTAGCAGCACCTCCCACCTTACAGTCCCTTCAGACAGACAGATAGCAGCACCTCCCACCTTACAGTCCCTTCAGACAGACAGGTAGCAGCACCTCCCACTTTACAGTCCCTTCAGACAGACAGGTAGCAGCACCTCCCACTTTACAGTCCCTTCAGACAGACAGATAGCAGCACCTCCCACCTTACAGTCCCTTCAGACAGACAGGTAGCAGCACCTCCCACTTTACAGTCCCTTCAGACAGACAGGTAGCAGCACCTCCCACCTTACTGTCCCTTCAGACAGACAGGTATAGCAGCACCTCCCACCTTACTGTCCCTTCAGACAGACAGGTATAGCAGCACCTCCCACCTTACTGTCCCTTCAGACAGACAGGTAGCAGCACCTCCCACCTTACTGTCCCTTCAGACAGACAGGTATAGCAGCACCTCCCACCTTACTGTCCCTTCAGACAGACAGGTAGCAGCACCTCCCACCTTACTGTCCCTTCAGACAGACAGGTAGCAGCACCTCCCACCTTACAGTCCCATCAGACAGACAGATAGCAGCACCTCCCACCTTACAGTCCCTTCAGACAGACAGGTAGCAGCACCTCCCACTTTACTGTCCCTTCAGACAGACAGGTAGCAGCACCTCCCACTTTACAGTCCCTTCAGACAGACAGGTAGCAGCACCTCCCACTTTACAGTCCCTTCAGACAGACAGGTAGCAGCACCTCCCACTTTACAGTCCCTTCAGACAGACAGGTAGCAGCACCTCCCACCTTACAGTCCCTTCAGACAGACAGGTAGCAGCACCTCCCACTTTACAGTCCCTTCAGACAGACAGGTAGCAGCACCTCCCACCTTACAGTCCCTTCAGACAGACAGGTAGCAGCACCTCCCACCTTACAGTCCCTTCAGACAGACAGGTAGCAGCACCTCCCACTTTACAGTCCCTTCAGACAGACAGGTAGCAGCACCTCCCACTTTACAGTCCCTTCAGACAGACAGGTAGCAGCACCTCCCACTTTACTGTCCCTTCAGACAGACAGGTAGCAGCACCTCCCACCTTACTGTCCCTTCAGACAGACAGGTAGCAGCACCTCCCACCTTACAGTCCCTTGTTATGCCGGCTTTTCTTGGCTTGTTTGAAGGTGAGTGGAGATGAACAAATCACTAAGCTGCCAGTGCCTCGAGTTTACAGCTAATTAGCTATAAGACAAAAACAAATAGTATAGGCTACTAGCTAATGGATAAGTTAGCTCAAGGTTTAGCTAAGACAATTGATCATGGGCATACTTTATATATTACTGTATTCACCGGTAGTGTCTCCCCTTAAGTACAGTATAATGTACTGTACGAATACAGTAACATGTGTATCTAATAACGTCATCACAATCGCCACATTGATATGCAAATGAGGCGTTAACTAGGGCTAATTAAAATGTGCAAATGTGCATGCAGTTACCAAGGCATTGCAGGTGAAAAGGATTAAAAAATAAATACAAATAAAAACATAACACCTCACAACTTCCCCAGATAGTTACTTACGTCAAGTCAGTATTTTCCTCTGAAATGTTATGTTTAAATGCAGATTAGCTTCATATCTATAGATGAATTCAGACATAACGATCTTTGTGCCTGTAATGTCCTTAAACAGTAACTTCATCATTTTGATTGTTGGCTGCTCATTTAATAACTATTAATTGTACTAGTTTGTTGTCTGCTCTTGTGCTCAGTGAATACTGAAGAAGACCATTGTCTCTGTGTTAACTGATTATTTTGTAGAATTCTGTTGAGTATTAAACAATTGCGTGAGTGTGAGGGTATTAAAATAAATTGGTCAGTAGCCTAAGTCAGAGATGTGCAACAAGGGCTTTGTGCAGAATGTGGCCTTATTGACGTATGGCGTCAACTAAATCAAGATGTCAAAGATTACACTTTCTTTTCAAATGTCCACAACTCTTATTCTAGAATAGATTATTTTTGTATTCCCTCAAAATACATGCATAAGGTAAAAGAATGTAACATTGATTCCATTAATATTTCAGATCATGCAAGAGTTCATTTAACTATTCACTTGGAGAGTGGAGAATTTGTATCCAGGCGCTGGAAATGTGATAACTCCTTACTTAGAGACGAAAAATTGGATAAGGTACTATATAAAAGAAAACAATGACCCCTCTATAGATCCGGATATTAATTGGGAAGCTGCAAAAGCTATTTTAAGAGCACTTATTATCTCATACACATCTTTTAAAAACGTGACAAAATTAAGCTCAGACAAGAACTTGAAAGAGAAGTAAACAGATGTGAAGTACTTCATAAATCCGCATCAACAGATGAAAACTGGAAACAATTCAACACAGCCAGAGCTAAATTAAATATTGACTTAGCAAATGAAATCATAACACAAATGAATCTTATCAGACAAAAGAATTATGAACTGGACAATTATCTCCATAACATTAATTTACCTACATTATCTGAATCAGATCAAGAGTATCTAAACTCATCAATTGCAGAAGTAGAAGTTTTGGCTGCAATTAAATCTATGCCTATAAATAAAAGCCCAGGGCCAGATGGCTTCTCGGCAGAATTTTATAATGAGTTTTGGACTGTACTTCAACCTATATTTATGTCAATGGTTAACAACTTCTCTCACAACAGAACACTTCCTCAATCAATGAATCTTGCATATATTACTGTACTACATAAAGATGGGAAAGACCCCTTGAATTGTTCTTCATTTAGGCCTATGCCTCTTGGATCATGATTATAAGATTATCACCAAATTATTAGCAAAACGACTGGAAATTATTTTACCTAAACTAATTAGTCCTGATCAAACAGGTTTTGTCAAGGGCAGATATTCTTCTGATAATATAAGGAGACTTTTGAATATTATAAACCATTTGGACACCGGTCAGAAGCCATCTCTGCTTCTTTCTTTAGATGCAGAGAAGGCTTTTGACAGGGTTGAGTGCAATTTTCTTTTTGCTATCTTGAACAGATTAAATATGGGCTCTCGGTTCATAGAGTGGGTCAAATCAATTTATAAAAATCCTAAAGCAGCGGTTATTACTAACTGCAGTTCCTGGGAGGGAGGGGGGAGTGTAGTGAGTGTACTGTGGTACTGTGATATTACAATACAAATTAAATGGCATCGATTACTGTACACTATAATGAAATAAAAAGACTGTGCAACTATATTTAACTTTTTTTATAAATTATTATGGGAAGTACCCTTTTTCTCACTTGAGCTCCTTGTCCCCCGAATATCTGTGCACGTCCCTGCTTGGAGCGCATCAACAGGGAGAAAGTAGTAGAACAAAAAGTATGAGCTACAGAACCTGTGACGTAATTT